TGAAGGTAAATAGAGTAGGCCGTATGCTGCAGTGTTATCACTCCTTGAACACTCCGGCCCTCCTTCCCCCGCGCCCCTCCCCCCCGCCGCCGACGACGAGGTTTTAATCCTAGCTCTTTTTTAAGCGAGCGAACCGAGATCGTCCATCGCAGCCTGAAAATTAACACCGTGGCAATCACCCCGCCTTGGTCGCACCGGGGAAAAACGAGGCTATTTCTTTGGCCTGATTGATTGAGGCGACGGCGGGTGTGATGGGAGGACAGGTAAGGCGGCGGTTTGAGTTGCTCTGGAGCGCGGGGACGGGGAACTTGCGTCTGGGGATGCTGGGGACGGGGAACTTGCGTCTGGGGATGCTGGGGACGGGGAACTTGCGTCTGGGGATGCTGGGGACGGGGAACTTGCGTCTGGAGATTCTGGGGATGGGGAACTTGCGTTTGGGGATGCTGGGGACGGGGAACTTGCGTCTGGAGATTCTGGGGATGGGGAACTTGCGTCTGGGGATGCTGGGGACGGGGAACTTGCGTCTGGGGATGCTGGGGACGGGGAACTTGCGTCTGGGGATGCTGGGGACGGGGAACTTGCGTCTGGGGATGCTGGGGACGGGGAACTTGCGTCTGGAGATTCTGGGGATGGGGAACTTGCGTCTGGGGATGCTGGGGACGGGGAACTTGCATCTGGGGATGCTGAGGACGGGGAACTTGCATCTGGGGATGCTGAGGACGGGGAACTTGCGTCTTGGGATGCTGGGGACGGGGAACTTACGTCTGGGGATGCTCAGGACGGGGAACTTGCATCTGGGGATGCTGAGGACGGGGAACTTGCGTCTTGGGATGCTGGGGACGGGGAACTTGCGTCTGGGGATGCTGGGGACGGGGGACTTGCGTCTTGGGATGCTGGGGACAGGGAACTTACGTCTGGGGATGCTGGGGACGGGGAACTTGCGTCTGGGGATGCTGGGGACAGGGAACTTGCATCTGGGGATGCTGAGGACGGGGAACTTGCTTCTGGGGATTCTGGGGATGGGGAACTTGCATCTGGGGATGCTGGGGACGGGGAACTTGCATCTGGGGATACTGGGGACGGGGAACTTGCGTCTGGGGATGCTGGGGATGGGGAACTTGCATCTGGGGATGCTGAGGACGGGGAACTTGCGTCTCGGGATGCTGGAGACGAGGAGGTTGCGTCTGGGGATGCTTGGGACGGGGAGGTACGTCTGGGGATGCTTGGGATGGGGAGGTTGCGTCTGGGGATGCTGAGAGGTGTGGGAGCGAAAATGAGAGAGAGAGAGAGAGAGAGAGAGAGAGAGAGAGAGAGAGAGAGAGAGAGAGAGAGAGAGAGAAAGAGAGAGAAGTGCGGGAGCGAAAGAGAGAGGAAGTCCGGGAGTGAAAGAGAGAGAGAGGAAGTGCGGGAGCGAGAGAGAGAGAGAGAGAGAGGAAGTGCAGGAGCGAGCGAGAGAGAGAGAGAGAGAGAGAGAGAGAGAGAGAGAGAGAGAGAGAGAGAGAGAGAGAGAGAGAGAGAGAGAGAGAGAGAGAAAGAGAGCGCCTCCCAGGGCCCGCAGCCACTTGTTGATCGCGGCCTGAGCCCGTGCCGGCGCGAGTAGGTGTTTCATCAGCCACCCACACAGGTTTCTTGGCGAAGTAGAACGAAGGTGAGGAAAAATAATTATGGTGAAGAAGCAAAGCAAGAATGGACTTTATGGATGAATATTTTTCATATTTTATTTCGTCAAAGTGTGTTTTCAAATAAATCCAAGTTTAAGATGTATCAAGAGCATTGGGAAAGTCACTGCGGTATAAAGAAAAAAGCATAGCGAGATGTTGTGTCAATAAACTGCGAGCTGATTCTACACAGACCCAGTCTCCCCCTCATCCCCTCCAACTCTCCTCTTCCACACTTTCCTCCTCCTCCTTCTACTCTTTGTCTGCCTTCCTTCTCCTTAATTTTTCTTCGTTTTCTTCTATTTTCCGCCTCTTTTTTTCTCTTCTTCTTCTTCTTCTTCTTCTTCTTCTTCTTCTTCTTCTTTCTCTTCCTCTTCTTCTTTTCCTCTTCTTCTGTTTTAGTCTTCCTCTCTTCCTCCTCCTCCTCCTCCTCCTCCTCCTCCTCCTCCTCCTCCTCCTCCTCTTTCTCCTCTTCTTCCTCCTCCTCTTCTTCCTTCTCCTCCTTTTCCTCCTCCTCCTCCTCCCCTGTCTCCTCCTCCTCCTACTCCTCCTCCTCCCCTCCTCCTCCTCCTCCTCCTCCTCCTCCTCCTCCTCCTCCTCCTCCCTTTTCTTCAGACTCTTCACGGCCTGAAATCTGAAGAAAGTCTTGAGTGTTTGCTGAGGATTGGGAGGAGGCGGCGGGAAAAGGGTACAAAGTATGTTCCTTTTTCACTAATGTATTTGTGGTGGACGCGTGATGTTAGGGTTTTACCGTAGAGTTTACCCGATGACGTTTCATACGCAATATCATTTTTGGTTGTGTCATTTATACGTCATAATTACCAAAGTCACATTCCCTGTCATGCTGTTTTGATATATTATATATACAATATTGGGCGCATAATATTTTTTTTTCTTCCTTCGCACTATTTATTAGCACTCTCACGTCCTAGTGGAATAATTTTAAGTTTAGTTACAGTACTTGTTACGAGAACGACGGTTTTTAAGTAGTTTATCATGAGTGAACCGAGAGCAAGGAGGCTCACAGCGAAGCCACAACAAAGCGGATACGGCATGACGTTCACACCCCCCCCCCTTCCCCTCTCCCCCTCTTTTCTCCTCTCTCTTACCTCCACCCTATGCTCCCCCCCCCCCCACCTCCGCCCTGTACTACCCCTCCCCTGCCTCCACCCCGTACGAGCCCTCCCCCACCCTCACTCCTTGGCACTCTCCCCCTCCCCCCGCGACAAACACTTCACACTCACGCCCATCCCACCCCCCATGGCATCTGGGCTGACTGGGGCATTTCCTGTGTGAAATGTGCAGTTCGTGCGGCCTTTCCTTGCTCCCCGCGACCTTGGCGACTCCTCTCCATGTCCGGGCTTGTTTTGGGCTCATATTCTTAGCGGACTGTGTCATCTGTTATTGCCTTCCCCGACTTCTTTATTTGGGATCTTCCTCTCCTCGCGTCGCACTCACGGCCGCCGCTACGCTCTCCCCACACGCGCTACGCCAAGTGTGTGTGTGTATGTGTGTGACTTATGCCATCTGTGCACTGTGCATTCATTGTGACATACGGAAAACAAGGTATAAGTGAGTAAGCATAACTTCACAGTGCAAGGGACACAATTAACACATTCGCTTCAGTCTTCTTGCGATACATGTATTATTATATTTTTGATCCGTGCAGTTATTCACTTTCACAAGCACAGTTAACATAGACTCTGACGTGTAGTAATCTTTTCTTAGTTAAGCAAATAGGAGAAAAGATAAAGAGTCCGTTCAAATAGTACCTAGGAATCAGATGCAAAATCCAGTCTCTCCATTGAGATCAATGACATCTGGCGTTTAAAAATCAAACCAAGCACGAAATTTGTGATATTAATGTTCTTTTTATTCTTGTTAAACAAGCATTATGTAATATCTATGTATATAACATCTTATTATATAAATAGAATATCCATTATAATTAATGTAATAAAGTGTTTTGAATTTAAATTTGAACACTGAGAACAATTATTGTTACTACGCACTTCAGTTAAACTTGCGCGCGCTTGTATACGCTGCGTGTCTGTGCGTTTACTCGTGCTTGACTCAGCGAGTCTTGTTTTTTGAGGATGTAAGGGAAGACTGTACGAGTGGACAAGCATATGAAGAAAATATTTTTAAAAAGACAGCAAGGGCCTCTGATCTGCTCACACACATACATACATGCAGATATGTATACATACAATCTTAAATATATACATACACGCATACATACGTATATCCATGAATATACATACATACATATACACATATACATATGTGTATATATATACATGCTTATACATGTACATGCACACATATACAAATATATGCATGCATCCATACACATAGTACCTACACACACAATGGTACTTTAATACTTTTTGTGCGTCGCAGGAAACCTTGCTTTGTGCATTTGAAATTCACTCCTTGACGAGGATTCACGACGGAGAAAAATGGGGCTGAGTTTCGGTAACTTTTACACACAAGTGAGTGAAAGATAAAAGAAGGAAAGATGATATATTTGACGGTATTTTTTCTGGAATCATTGATTTTTGATCTTGGTGAAAATCATTGGTTCTTCTTCTTGTTAATTATTAATGTTCTCGCTCGATTATTACTATTTTCATAATTTTGTTATAGATATTGATATCATTCTTCCTAGTATATCGTTAGCCTTCTGGCAATGGATAGGGCGGGAAGGAAGTATGTGTTTACGTATCCACATATAACGGACTCACTTTAAGCAAAGCCACCCATGTTCGATGTTTATAATACACTACGCCCTAACGCCCCTAACTCTTTCATCATTTTTTACCCAAAGGATAGCATATTCTGCTGTTACTGCCTTTCGGTTTCAGAATATCCCCATGGTTTTGTCTTTTTCTCTGTTGGTTCAGGTGCCATGCCCTGATAAGCTGATATTCATGATAGCGAAGGCGAACGTGAGTGACAAACAGCTGGCTGGGCGTTTAAGTATGATGTATAGTCCAAACAACAGGAGTTTATACGTACAGCATGCAGCTTTGTCAAGTATAAAAAAAGGCGAGAATTGACTGACATCAATCACGAATGCAGCGTGGGAGTGACACATGTCAGTGATCATACACATAAATATCATGTATATCAGCAAGGCTTTTGTGATGATGCCAGCCGCGAACGACAACCTATTTGTCAAGACATTAAAGAACATGACACGTACTTGACATGTGAGAGCGAAGAAGGGAGACGCGCCGCACTGAAAGAAAACCCTGGCGATTGCTGGCCGCGCTGAGGACAAATCAAGTGTAACACACTATTAAGGAATCGATCAGGGGCTTCAGCATTGGGCTCCATTATTTACGGGTCGCGTAGGAGAGACACGCTGGATCTCGGGTCATACATGCAAGACACCAATCACGCTCAACACACACAAAAAATGCATAAAACTTCAATTTAGTTGAGATTCTCGGGTATTTATTGGTCCGTCCCGTGACCAAGGAACTACGGAGGGAGTGTTGCTAGAAAAAGTATACGGAGGGGAGAGGGAGAGGGTATCGAAATTTTGTGAAATATCGCCGTCGTTAAGAGAAGGCAGTCACGAAGAGCAGGCAAGGTAGCCGGGAACGTGCGGAGAAGCGATTGCCTTTTTTATGCCGGTCAAGCGCGAGTCCATCATCAAGGGGCGCCCCACGACCACCATCGCCTTGAAGAAAGCGAAGAGGATCTCGAGAGTTTTTATTGACTCGCTGGACCGAGGGTGTGTCCCGCTGCACATTCCAAACACTGGTATGTGGACTTGCGCGGCGGCGGAGGGCCTTTCGGGGGTCTGGAGTTGGGGTTATTTAGAGGGGTTTCTCCAGGTCGAAGGATGGGCTTGGGGGGCGTGGGAGAGTAGAGAGAGAACAGAAGAGGGTTGGCGGGGAGTAAAGGAGAGATGAAGAATAGGTGGAAAGACAGTGGATATAGAATAAAAGACAAGTGGCGCATACACACAAATACAATAAGCTCAGGAAAGAATAAGTGCGATTAAAAAGAGGAGAAAAAAAGAAAGAATAGAAAGAGAAAACAATGTAGCAGTTAGACCGGCGACCGCAGGCGCTTTGTGAATATCCAGACACAGAAGGGACAAGTAAGGAAGAGAAGAGAAGCAAGGAAGAACATATCGAATGGGACGTCGATTTAACCGCAGCCAGTGTGAAGGCCATTAACAAAAGCAATCAGGTCGTCCCCCTCGCCCTCGTACTCGTACCCGCAGTTCCTCCCCTTCGTCTCCCTCCACCTCCCCCCCTTCCGACCCTTTCCCACCCCTTCCCACCCCTTCCCACCCCGTCCTACCCCCCCTACTCCCACTCCCCCCTTCGAAGGCCAAGGGATGAAGCAGTGACGACCTGATGAATTATTCAAGCAACTCGAGAGACTCGGCCTGCCAAAATCTCAAGGCGCTTTGATCTCCTCGGGGACGTCACTCGAGGCTGATGACATGAAAGGTTGTGGCTGTTTAGGGACTCCTCAGTGCGGCCGTGTAGAGGGAGAGGTGAAGAGGTCTTGGCGGCGTTTGGTTTCTGTAGAGGGGGGGGGCGGTCGTTTTTCTTCTGCTTCTTCTCTTTCCTCCTCTCTCTCTCTCTCTCTCTCTCTCTCTCTCTCTCTCTCTCTCTCTCTCTCTCTCTCTCTCTCTCTCTCTCTCTCTCTCTCTCTCTCTCACTTTCACTCTCACTCTCCTCTCTCTCTCTCTCACTCTCTCTTTCTCTCTCTCTCTTTCTCTTTCTCTCTGTCTCCTTCTGTCTCTGTCTCCTCTCTCTGTCTCTGTCTCTTTCTGTCTCTCTCTATGTCTCTCTTTCTCTCTCTCTCACTCTCTCTCTCACTCTCTCTCTCACTCTCACTCTCTCTCTCTCTCTCTCTCACTCTCTCTCTCTCTCTCTCTCTCTCTCTCTCTCTATCTATCTATCTATCTATCTATCTCTACTCTCATAATTTTATTATCATTTTGAATATTATTTTATTGCTTCCATTATTGTTGTTGTTACTCTTGTTATTGCTAGTGCTGCTAGTACTACTACTACTACTACTACTACTACTACTACTACTACTACTACTACTACTACTACTACTATTAATAATAATAATAATAATAATAATAATAATAATACTTCGACTACAACTACTACGACTACTATTGCTATTAATGCTACTATTACTACTACTACTGCCACTGCTACTATTACTATTACTACTACTACTCCTACCACTATTACTATTACTACTACTACTACTACTCCTACTACTACTACTACTACTACTACTACTACTACTACTACTACTACTACTACTACAAATACTACTGCTGTTGCTGCTGATGTTGTTGTTGCTGCTGCTGCTGCTGCAATTGCTATTATTACTACTACTACGACTGCAACATTACTCACCATTATTGTAATTGTCAGTTCTATCTTTAGAACACACCGATATGTTTTTCCTTGAGAATAGTAAACGTTTCGAAACAATGGGACGATCACCCGGCGTTTGCCCAGACGTGAACAGAATCCAATGAGAACCGAATCGTTACTTAAACATTGCCAGGGTAAATATCGGGACCAGATTCACACGCGCTGGCCTGAATATCGCGAGCTTCTGACAGCTAACGTGTGATTCAGCCGTCCCAGTTGCCGTGCGAGTGGCCATTGACTGTTTTAGTAATTAAGTTTTCGTTTGTCATGAAATTAAAGTGACAGGACCCTCATTTGATCTGCCCATTAACGTCACGTTGGATGTATTTCCTTTCTACTTTCCGTGTTTGGTCTTCTTATTATTTTTGAGGGTAGGGGGGATGATTGTTTGAGGCCTGTTTTATTCTACTAAGGAAAGGATCGATTCCGTGCCAGCGTTGCTTGTTCTGGTACCGCAAGTTTGCATCTAAGGGGTATTAGCATACGAGCCGTATAGAGGACGGTAAACGTTCAACAGCGAGTGTTGAAAGTAATGTCGACGGTTGTAACCTCTGCCCGCAGTTCACGCCTCGAAAGCGCAATCGTGAAAGAGAAAACATCATTAACTTCACTTGCGCGAGACCTTTGTCGATTACTCGGTGACTGCAGCCCACTCTCGCGTCAGCAGGACCACCCCGGCGTTATTTGGTTAACTGGTCCATTTAGCGGCGAAAGCAGGTCTAAACATTAACATAATGACAACGAGGGTCCAGAGGGCTGGGAATACAACGCCAGGCAGACGAACCTGTAATTTGCATACACTACTAACCACACCGACGTGCCGTATATGGTGTTTGACAACCTATTACCGCTCTTACAGCAGTGCGTATCCCAGACTCAGGTCAGAACAGGCTTAAGCCACGTAAATCTGAGTGGAGATTTGCATATAGGGCCATCCAGTGATATTAAATCTTGCCGAACCATAGGCTTGGACAGGCTATTGTTGTTCCCACAGCCTGTTTTCTGCTAATTTTCCTCGCTATTAAAATTATCTGGTAGATCGGCTCTGAAGCGATTAGCGGTCTGTGTAACGTTTAAGGCCGTCCTGGTTGCGTGACGCAGCCAGACATGCTAACATGAAGATATGTATGGAAATTGATAATAAGTATGTGGTAGGCAGGTGTAATTTTAACATGTATTTTATATCCCATGGTTTTAGCTCGGCGCCCCGGGTATTGCTGCGACGGTTCCCCTTCCTTATACGGCCCTTGTCGTGTTTATTATATGTGAACATGATAGATGTCTCGTTGGATTATAGATTAAGCTAGGCTCCTTGTTGTCAGCGCAGCGAGGTTTATTTTTATTCTCCAAGATTATATATTACATGACTGATGTGTCCATGTCCGCATACATCCTCCAGTGTGTTTGCATGTGAGTGTATATTTATTAGCTTGCATGACGCTTGTTTACGAATGCGATAAGAATAGATTAGGCAGTTACCAGTTCAAATAAACTAGGCTAATTATCGTTTATCTCCTCCACTAATAGAGACTGCGAGTGCGTTAATGACATGCCGTGCTTTGGTGCGAGTCAGGCAGCCATGGCGCACTCGGGGAGGCTTCTCACTGGAGGCGGGATGGCGCACGAGAAACGTAAATAAATATAGTCGCAGCGCACTGCCAGGCAAGCACTTCATCGCGATTAGCTAGAGAGAGTACAAGATAGATGGCTTCGTAAAATGATGCAAGCCAGATTATATAAGCACAAACATGAAGAAAAACTACAATAATAATCCGGTTTTACGAATCCCGTAACCAGTAACAATGAATACGAAATGGAAAGGGTATTTTTTTAGCTACGCAATCTATTCATTCACATTCACATCGAAAGTTTGGTTCTTTCGTCCAGAAGGCAGTCCACATTTCCCAGCTAAACATAATGATACAAATTTGAACAAAAAGTCAGAGGACATTTCCGTAAATTTCTACATATCAGATAGAAAGGTCTTTCTCCCTCCCCCTCCCCCCCTCCATAAAAGACCTCGGCTCGGAATAAGTAGATATTGCTTCAATAATGCTGAAGACACTTAAAGCCTCGATAAAAATCAGAAGAAGTCGCCTGTAAATCGCAACAAGAGAATACTTCGCAGACGACGGACGCCGCTCGTGGAGGGAAGTCGAGGCGCGGGCGGCCAGGGGCCTTTCGGGGTTGCATGGGGGGGGGGGGCACGGTTCTGAGAAGTGTGATAATGTATATTAATATATGTGGAAGGGTGTGTTGAGAAGCGAGTGATGTGCGATGTGTGTCGTGAAAATAGTGAATCTTTCGTGGCTAAGTATGGAGATGGTTTAGTGCGTTTTGTGATATAAAAATGCTTTTGATATACAGCCATCTGGCTCTATGCTATAAATAGATCCTTGCCATCAGCACGAACAGACCTCAGTTGAGTCGAACATAATGTAAAATAAAAACAAACAATAAAGAAGCTTCGTCGATATGCAAAGAAGTTTACTTGTTAAGGTAAGTTACTGTGGGTTGGGCCACGGCAGCTTAAGCCCATCAAGATGGATCAAGTTGGTTTAGTGTGTCTTTGTGAGTCCTCTCAGTCTCTGAAAGAACCGAGCAAAGTCATCGTTTTGTTTATGTGCACAGCAGGAGGAGAGCAAGACCGGGTTGTGCAACGATATCTATTCTGCTGGCGGAAGACGCACGGCCGGCAGATGAATTCGGCCTGACCCGCGTCCGGAGCCCGTCTGGCACGCCGCCTGGCCGCCCTTCGTCCACGACAATGGCAACCAATTTTCCGGCAGACAGTGTAAACAGAGAAGCGGAGTTCGGGAGCGTAATTGCACGTTTACCTGATTAACGGATACGACTCAGTCAGCAGTTCGCTGCGGTACCGCCACGCGCTCTACAGCCACTCATTATTGC